AACTACAGAAGCAAGAAGGAGCTTATGCTCACAAAACTTGCAGGTCTTTTAGATCGTGGAGAATACAAGCACCTTAGCCCCAAGAAGGCGCATTAGTTGCATGCTCTTTTTGGATTTGGGCATCCTCGATTTGTTCTACCTGTTTATGCTCAGGCTTCACACCCCAAGAGCGGTCCATGTCTTTGAAACGGTTGCCCGAAACCACTGATGAAAAACCGTAGTTCCAAAGTAAAGCCGCCTTCGCTGAACAGCAGCCTTCGCGGAACGAATTCGTACTTCATGTCTCACATCCAAGTGAAACAGTGAGAATCTTAGATCATCTGTCCAAAAACACGGAACTTGAGCTTCGACTTCTCGATTGTTTGCGCAGAGCTGTGATCGGCTTCTGATTCCACCTGAGGGAACTGCATGCCATGCATTTCGCCACCTGTCTTTTTCCCTGCTCCGGGACCATACGAGAGCATGCTACTTTTGCTGCTTGCAGGTGAGCCGGGATGTGGAACTGCAGATGGTCAGCTACAAACGCGAAGTCCAAGATGCCGAACAGGCGGAGCGCTCCGCCGCGACCGGAGAGGACGACAGTTCAGTGATTGGACAAACCTGACCGCCGGAGGTCAAACAGCTCAGGGTGGAACTGTGGTGATGAATTGTTGCTTACCCAAAACTTGTATCATTGTATCAACAGTCCAAGTTTTGTCGTGTCCCAAACGCATAGCAAGGTCAAGCAAGGTCCAACATGCATCGAAACTGCTTTGTATCTTAAGTGCCATGCCACCAGATTTTTCGAAGGCGATCCCAGCCCCTCCGGAGCCCGTCCCAGCCACTCCATCCACACGACCCGCCGACCCGGGCTGAGGCTCGCCTCGGTCAAACTGGTGTAGACCTGGTGAGAGGCCCCGTGAGATGCGCCGGGCCTCGAGACAATTCCTCCGAAGAGTTGCATCAGAGTCGCGAGCTGTTGGGTTTGGACCTTCGAGGTGGCAAGATGGTTGGGAAGACGATTGATTGAGGTGGCAACATGGGCAATCAGGCAAGCAGTCCAACCTACCAGCTTCTGTGTTTCCTCGAGATACTGAGAGCAGGATAATCAACCTGCAAACAACTTCAGTGCAACACCAGCACCAATACCAGGACTTTAGCTTTCCTAGATTGTCTGTCAGGTTGAACCATGTCCGTTTGGAAGAAATCACCATTTGGCATACAAAAAGCTACTGCAAGTGACTTGAAGTCTCCTCAACTCTGATGATTCCCCTTTTTTCGTCCAACCATGCCGAACACCGCTGCAGCAGCCGAACACCGAGGTCCCCCGGTTTCAGCGCTCCAAGCGAACATGAGGAGCATCCACCGGTGGTGCCGGTGCCAGCCTCGTCCTGAAGCGGAGAAGAACGAGCGGAGCGACCCGGGGAGCGACCTCCGCGGACGACCTGCGAGATCACCTGAAGTCCGTTGGTCACAGCAGGTGAACTCCAACCGGACAGGTCTCGAAGCCCGAAGTGGACCCGGGGCGACCTTCCGGACATAAGAGGTTGCAGGGTTGAACTTCCTCTATGAGGGTATACTGTGTTTGGGAAAGCCAATGACTCCGGAAGTCACTGGACCCTCAGACATTCCAGACATCATGGCACTGTTTAACTTCCTCTATGAGGCCATACTGTGTGGGTGCATGAGTTTTCCATGTTTTGCCCATCAAGCGGGGTCATCGAACTTTCCTTTGAGGAATGGGAGAAACAACTCGGGCCAGGAGAAGTGGATCATGTGCCGATCACATGCGCCAGATGCATGACTGCCATGCAGGATATCTGCCACGTCAAAGGATGGCAGCGGATTTAAGATGCAACCGAGATCTCACCGCCAACCTGGCGTGCAGTGGTGTGTTCCCCCACCCGGATGGGAAGTAGGATGCATATCCGGTTCTGGTTACTTGTGGGTGAGGGAATCGCATGAGCCTGGAGGATATGCTGACGAGGAAAAATTGAGTGGCGCGACTTGTGTAAAGTGGACTACTTAGAGCTTTTGCAACCACCCTTGACACTGAGATTCTGTGGACATTCTATCTGCATGCTCCAGTGGTACTGGGCGCACACACACACACACACACTCTCCTACAGGTCATCTTGCACATGGTGCTGCTGTTCTGCAATGTTTGGCAATGCTCAGATCAGATGAGATCATGCTGCTATGACAGTATGTTCAGTAAGTCTCCAGCCCCATGTAACTGTTCCGAATACAAGTCATTCAGGCGGCAAGCACGATCGAACCCAGATTGGCCGTCAGACCATTGCAGAATCAATTTAGACGTTGTGCACATATCTTGTATGTCTATCTAGCGTTAACAGTTGCATAATTGAAGCTTCTTTAGCAAGTCACCCAGCATTTAGACTTCATATTTCCAACAAAAGACACCCTTCTCTGAAATCCTGAAATCCTATTTGGATACACACGCGTTGTGCCGGATAAAAGAATGCATTCTCCGGTATGCTCTGGGGAAAGGAGGAGCCGAACTCGTCCGAACGACCGACGGGAGTGGATCCAAAAGACCAGTTCACTTGGTCGACGGGAGAGCAACGTATGAAGTCCTGGCTCGCAGCGCATTTATGGGATTTGGATCAAACAGAGCATGAAAACACAGAATCAACCAGAGCAACAGTCCAGTGATTTTGCGATCCAGAGGTGGCCCAACAAACCAACTTGGTTGAGTGATTTAGTCTTACACCCCTGGTAACTAGACTTCTAGACCCTGAACAAGGATCATTGCCTTTTACAGCGATTTGGGAAAGAACTCATCGGAATCAGAAACCGAGCTGGAACCGAACTTGTTGACGAGAAGGTGTTGTAGCTGCTGGCTTGGCAGGATACAATTCTTTTTGCAAAGCCTTTGGATGATTTTGCAGAGTTTCTATGGTACCTTTTGCGTTCCTTTTTGGCCTCTGGCTGTTCTCTCTTTGTGCCTCCTCGGGACTTCGACCGGTTCCCCGTCAGGAGCTCGGGGAGCTCTGCGTGTTGGCCAAACGGACGATTGTCGGGAGCCCGAGCGGGGGCATCGGAGCTGAAGAACAGAGATTGTGTTGAAAGCACGAACAGATTGAATGAACATGCGAACATTCCGATAAAATGCGTTCATCCGCCTTGTTCGACGGTTTTGGAACGTTTTGGATCTATTCTATTCGGACAGGCACCTACCACGCGGTCACAGTGTTCCGTGTTCCTTGACGAATGGTTTCGCTGTTTCATTAAAACCGCTCCTTGGAAGCAGGATCGCTTCGCTGGTACGAACTCTCTGCTTCGCGGTGAATGAAAGCGGAGTTTGGAGGATGCCCTGGCCCTTGCCCTTTTGCGCTGTCTATAGGGCCATCAGCTTTGCCCAGCTTTGTTCATTTTGAGATCGAACATGCGAACATTCCAAGCCCAGAAGGGAGCGGCAGGGGTCCGGTCCACTTGTTCAAGATCCAATTTGGATGGTCCTTACCGGTATTTTAACTATAAGACATGAATGTCAAGAAGTTCAAAGAAAACATGTGAAACAAACGTAGACACAAGTATGAAGCACATATTTTGATGACGAACACATGAACAACACGCACAGTTTTCCCCATGTTTGGAACACGTATTCCAGAAGCTAATCCTAATGGAAACAGAAGAAGTGGAACTTCATACTGAGTCATCTACATTTGAAGCTTATACGCTGGAGCACTCACTGACAATGCAAATGACCACGCCACATAGCAAAACCATCGGTTGTCTGATGTTCAAAACATGTCTCTGAGAAGAGGACACCAATTTGCCAATGGCATAATGATTCGAGATTTAACGAGGTCTCGAACGAGGCCCGAACGAGGTCACCATGGCCATACAACAAACAATGGGCCTGCTGCCTCCCCCCAAGCGAAACATGCGTGAAGGAGGAGACCCTGATGAACTCCCACTTGAAGCTAAACGCACCAAACATGTTGCACACAGAACAACAAACAACATACAAGGATACATGACACAGCATGGCAGACTGAATGTCTTGAAAGCTGCCATCAATCTAAACACATCAAGCACACAACACAAACAACGGAGAGAACCCATGCAGGAATACAGGAAACACATTGACAGGGCATGATCTATATTAGATGTTGCCCGCAAAGATGAAGCAAACTGCTTTTCTCTCCAGCTAAACGCATGTGGCTGCGACTTTTCTAAGCTGCCTCCAAGATATTTTCAAGCCCTTCCAAGCTATTTGCCATGTTTGCCCATCAGCTGTGTTTATGATTTTAACATGTTTTGACCTCCTCCTCCCTTGAACATCTATCTCCATAGTCACCAAAAGAATCCAACAGAATCCACAGTCTCTCATGTTCATCGCTCCAAGGAACTCATGGACCATCATGGACCTCTCAAACCCTCCGCTACCTACTTCTCTCCGACGCCGCACGCTCAGGTGGCCTACATCCGCATGGCTGCCACGGTGATCATCGCCGTGGTGGTCCGGCTCTGCCGAGGGCACTCAGGGAGCCCCGAACGAACTGACCCCACGGACGTCTGACTTCTTGGTGGAGCCGAACGAAGAGTTCGAGGACATCTCGACTACGCGAGGACTATATTGACTATATACCCGTTCTCAACGACATTGGAAGACTTTCTCAGAGGAGACTCCCCCGAAAAGGTACCAACTCCTTCGTGTTTCACCCATCCACGACCAGGAGCCTCGTCGTCTCATCGATCGTGCGGTCGGGCGGTGGCGGTCCCGACCGAGGCTTGGATTGCGTGGGGCTGATTCTGACGCGGCAAGATGCGCCGTCGGCGGGCTTTTGGCCGGGGAGCCCAAGCGGGAGCCATGCGCAAAGGAAACACAGAAAAAGAGACGGGATAAGCCCACAGGTGAAGTTTGATGCAGCATGCAAAGGAAAAAATGTGTGAGAGCAAGTGAGTGAGTGAGTGAGTGAGTGCAAGTGAGTGAGTGCAAGTGAGTGAGTGCAAGTGAGTGAGTG